GGGCCTTCGAATGGCATTTGCTTAAAACATAACATACACAATTCATACGAGGCGTTCAGGGTTCTATATGCACTTATTCTCATCGTTCTACACCACCCTCTCTCCTTCGTCTATCGCGGGTTGTAGGAAACCCTTTCTGAGGAAATTTTGGACAAGGTTTCGATCATCAGATTAGCCTTGATGGAACAACTAAGCCATACACTGACACACTGACAATACTTAATCATAAGTGGGATCACAATAATGAAATTAAAATTTACTATCCAAAAAACTTTTTTATCATTACTACTGCATAAATGAGTAATTTACTTTCGAATACCTGATTCCAGTTTCAAAACCGTATTATTTGTTTGATAAGATAATTTGTATGTTGCAGCCTTTTTATGATAGCATGACTTATATTAGCATGCCTAGCATGACATATAGCAAGTCTATTTCCGCCATTACCACGTATTATATAGACATGTATGAGACCTCCTTAACTTGCATGTAAATTAACATCATTCAATAATATTGCATGTATATATTAATTAATTAGATTAATTGCAATATTAATTATGAGGTAGTAGATACGAAACCAACCAAATACCTTTATTAAACAATTACACGTCCCGTATACCTACAAGTTGATGATTCGATCATTTTAAGCTCATTTTACTGCATATGAATGGTTAAAGTGAATTGCGTCGGTTTGATATAGGAGTTAACATTGTGGAGCGGCGCGAGTTCAGTCCCGCCCACAGCTTGCAAGGACGGTGTCCTGGAAACGAGTTAGATTGTACATAGCAGCATGCGCGTACTAGTGCGCTTTCCATTAAGCGGCCAAAATGGTCAGACCGGTCATATTTTAAATTTAAATAGAGTATTTCGTTAAGAATATAGCGATAAAACTATATTTCCCGTGCTAGGCAGATGTAAATAACGATAAACTTGAATGCAGAGTTATTGAACCACTCTAAAATACCAGTTGTCTGGCCGTTTTTTCCGTATAAAGGAAAGCGCTCCTAGCTGAATCTTTCACATTAGCAATTTCACTGCCAGCGTAAGGTGCAGACTTTCGGTGAATGACGTTCAGAATCACGTTCAGTGCCCGACGTCTGCACCTAACCATCCACACGGGTATAGGGCGACGATAGATGTTAAACTGGTAGTAATCAAAGATTAGGCAAGTGCGTTCGATTTTTTATTATCAAATGATATTTGTACTATAAATTTCCCATGGACGGAATCACCGAAGACGCGTCGAAATCACACAAGACGCGTCGAAATCACAAGACGCGTCGAAATAACACAAGACGCGTCGGAATCACACAAGACGCGTCGAAATCACCGAAGACGCGTCGGAATCACACAAGATGCGTCGGAATCACAAGACGCGTCGAAATAACACAAGACGCGTCGGAATCACACAAGACGCGTCGGAATAACAGGCGCATCAATAACAGGCGCATCGAACAGATGCTTTTATGCCGAACGAAAAACACATTTCTGCGAAGTCCGATTGACGAAGAACAGCCCTCTTAAGTAGATGTAGGGCGCACAACGTAGAATTGGCTTTTTTAACCTCATTGTCAACATGACGGTTCCAAGTCCAGTCGGTCGTTAAGATGAAGGCTCCCATATATAAAGACTATAAACAGCCCCTAACTGAACTAACTAAATGATTGTATGTAATGCCTGAAATAATTACAACAAGACGCCTACTAGGCGTTATATGATCGCGTCGTTCACAGCGGCGTAGCCATCCCAGCTATGCAAATTTTGTGTCGTAAATGTTCTTAATAATAAAAATGAACAATATACCGAACTATAGTCGCATGTTGAAAGCAGGAGAAACACAAAACAGCCCATTTCGAAACTGCTTGAAATCCTTTAGTGCAGGCTTACTCTGCTCGGCGTGTGCAGTTAGTTGTATGTGTAATGAGTGTAAAGATAAAGATAACACTTGCTAGCATTTTGATCGCTTTATTGATTCTACTTTACTGCTTCGAAGTTCGAAGGTGAAACGAAATATGCCCAAAGTGAATACAACACGTGTATAACTAGCAACTTACCTGTGCGCAGGTTCCCGATTAGGGTGATATGGCCCGCAGCTAGCGACGCTGGGGGTCGACCCGAGAGGAAAATAAAAAAAAAAAAAAGCCGAAACTATAGATCGCTGTCGCTACGCGACGCGATCAAAAAAAAAAAAAACCAAGCCGAAACTATAGATCGCTGTCGCTACGCGACGCGATCAATTAGGCTAGGCTTGGTGGGTGCCGATTAAACTTAGGCTGTGACCTCGAGGAGGACTATAGACATAATGGCAGAACTGCGGAAGTCCCTTTTTGCATTTTAGGAAATTTTTTGGGTGTGACGCCAACTAACGTAAGCCATGTACGCGAGCACACGAAAGCAATCACGCAAGTACTATGGCGCTTAGTATCCAGTTTGTATTTTGCTCACGCAAGCCTGGTGTGTGCAGGAACTTTTGACTGGAGGTACAAAATTCCTGCACACACCAGGATGACGTAGAATGAAGTGGGTGCTTCTTGAAAAATTTCGGACACAAAAACATTAGCAAAAGAGTACAAAGTGTAAGTCTGCTATAATGTGTATTCTGTGTTTACGAGTTCATAACTCGTCAGTTCGCGCGCGTTGTTTTGGCATCAATCAAAACTCGTAGTCATGTGTCGTAGTCGCCGAGCTTTTGAGTACGAGTTGGCAAACTAGCTATAGGTACCCGAAAGCTCGGCCACAGAGTAAGTAAAAGATATAGAGTTGGAAGTGGGTGGCGCATAGTGATTAGATATGGCGGTTTTTTGTACCCGCTTTTTTTTAGTGCACTTGAGCTAAAAGTGACCAACTGCGCATGTTCGGCAAGTGCCTGAAATGTTCAAAATGGCTTAGATTTTGGTAAACGTCTGCTAAAACATTTTCGTTAATCGTAGCTTTACAATATCGTCATTTGAATAGCATTTTACGCACTTAAGATAGATTGCGGAATTGTTTATATTTTCAATATCAGACACTTGCCGAGCATGCGCACTAAAAAGTGGGTACACTAGTTCCAGCTCTGTATCTATTACTTACTCGTTGTGACCCGACGACTTAAAAAGGAGTTTGAGCAAGGCAACGAAGTACGAAGACGAAGACAAACTTCACAATTTTTTAACGTCTGCGCATGCTCCGCTTAAGGTCAGCGGTGACGGTTTAACGTCTTCGTCCTGTTGTCCTGGTTTAAGACGAATATTTTGACAAAGTTCGTTGTGGTCAGAACGAAGTTTTCAAATCTTGAATAGTTCTTGTATGGACTGATAAATGTTGTTTGAGATGTTTAAACCTGAAAGAAGCATAACATCTTCCACTTCAAAAGCATCTTCCAAAAACATGGCTAAAATAGCCATCTCGTATTCAGCTCTGTTCATGTTTACAAAATTACTACCGTGTTCGTAGTCGTATAACTTTGACAGAACTGCTCAATTCAAATATCCAGCTGCACGAAGACTTAAGACGAGGACTACTATTCCAAGCCTACCTCGGCCGATATTTCCGTTATCGCCTTGATCTTTATTGGTTCTCGTTTGACTCCTTTTGTTGCCCAGGAAGGCCATCTCCGCCCGCCAAAAAGTATTTGCCTTTGTTAACTTTTAAACCTGGATTTAGTATTCGTGCTGGTATAGTATTTAGTAATTCTATCTAATGTTTCTGCTAGGCGAATATCGTGTTCATGTTTTGTCTTTCCCCAGACAATTAAGTTCGGTGTTTTGCACGTTTGCGCAACCGTTTTCCCGTCGATAATTTGGGATATTTCTTTTTGTCTTTTGAAACACTTCACTGGACTGCACTCTGGCTAGTACTAGGTGTCAATCATTACTGGTTGCATCACTGACCTATACCATAAGATGAAAGATGGACATATGTGCATCTCAGTCAGTCTATTGTGTGGCATTTCACCAATGTTTTAGTATTTGCACAGATGAAAATTTATTTGAAAATAAAGTTTTAAATTTACATGAATTAAAAGCCAACAAATTACTACTGAAAGGCAGAAATAATAAAAAATGAACAGGCCATCAGTCCAGCAAGTGTAACAGCTTTCAGCTCGATTAAGCAAGAACAATAACAGGAACATTAGCGGTTATATGACGCGGTAACAAGTTCCGGTTCGAAGCATGGAATTGTTTGCGTAGATGATCACCTTTTCACTCAGTTGGGTTTGTGTATTCGTAACTTAAAGGCACAGTCGCACTTAAAGTTCGTGTCGTAAAGTACTAAAATAAGGTACTCGTATTTTTAAAGTAAAGTATTTCGTAGTCGCCCCGCACCAATAGTGGATATCGTGGTTTGCGCATCGCCTCGACAAGCGGGACTGTTATGTAAGTTTATTGTGTGTGTAGGCAGTATAGCTTCTTTATTAACGTTATAGTTTTAGCTATTTGCATGACTAGGGTTGAACGATCGATTTGTTTAGAACACATGATAAAAGCCTGTAAAATATATCCCTGCATTTCGTTTCTTCGAACTTTACAACGCGTCGTGACGTAAGCAAAATCCTCATTGTTTCGAAATATTATATATAGAGCTTGCACTGCGATTGTTACAGTCGGGGTGTTTGCATGACGTGTGCATTTTGGAAAAATTTGAGGTCACAAAAACAATCTCTGGTTACACCTTTGATAATGCGTATTCTTTGCCTATACTTGGTGACACGAGAAAAGCTATGGGAATGCAATTAGAGTGGGATTATTTTATATAGCTAAGTCAGAGTGAGCATGTACACTGGTCTTTTTCAGGTTGACCAGTTTTTGTAATTTTATGGTAGATTCGGTTGGATGCACATAAAACAGCGCCACCTGATTTTAATAATTACCAATTTATTCCAGCAGGGGGCAATCTAACAAGATTTGAGCAGCTTTGCTTACAAAATTAGTCATAATTATTCAGTGATCTCTAGTGAACTGATCATGAATTATGAAACATAAGCAACCGCTAGAACTCTGGGTACGAGACCACATGTATTAGTCGGCGGCGGCGGCCATTATGGGGCATAATTTGGTCACAACTCACAAGGCGTTGTATCGGAGAGAAATATGAATCATAATATGAATCATCATTGAGGACTATGTTCGTTTGTTAAGTTTTATATATACATCACGATTGTTGAATTATAAAGCAGGAAAGGATGGTATGTGTAAAAAAATGTAGGATGTTACCACAATTATTAGGAGATATCAAATAAGTTTTAAAATTTTCATATTCCACGTATACATACATGATACATATATATATAAAATCCTATCTATATATTTACCTATTTCATTTTAATAACAGGCAATACCCCCACCATGATGAGCATAGGTATTATTATTTAGTACATGTATTATTATATATATAGGTATTATTATTTCTGTCTCAATTATTGAAATTTTTGGTGTGGTCTAGATCTTAACAGCTGCTATTAAATTATAATCTGTCACCAATCCAACATGTCGTTCCATAAGTCGTCAGACGGAAATAAAATTTTTTGCTCCGTTTCAATAATTCAATTTCACTTGTTAACGAGATAACGAACATTGGAATACAGTAAATATGATCTACATTGTCCATGATTTATACAGTAAAATAATATTGCAAATGGGAATTTCAGCATTCTAAGAACACAAAGATTTTAATGGTACATTTTTTGAAATCAGAATTAATTTGTAAGGTAACTAAAGTCATTCAGCTCTTTATGGATGTTTCCTATTTCCCTTGTAAGAAACTTTCTTGGGAATTGAACATTTTCAATCCAAAACTCAATTTTTGGAAAGTTCTACCCATTTTAGGTTTGAGAACTACCCATTTTCCAATTAGAACTGCCAATTTTGGAAAAGAGGTGATCTATAAGAGTATAGACGCATGCCATGAGGTCACAGAAAATTTTGACAAATATGATCAGTCATCGCTTTAAAGTTAATACATACAGTACTAGTAATAAATACAGTAAAACAAGTAAAACATAGTAAATTACAGTATAGTAAATAGGAATCAAAAAATTTCTTTTATTGTTTATTGACATTACTTTTAAATTGTTTTTGCAAGAACAATGTTTTTGTCTGTAAGTCATTGAGTGTTTCAAAGGCTTGAACAATGTTAGAAGTGTCTTTGGATTTGCTTTTCAGGCACTTCTTAAAACAAGAAGGGTGTGGGTGTCAGTGGCGTTGCCAGGTTGTGCAAACTGGGGGGGGGATGGAAAAACACCAAAGGCACCTCTAGGGGGGTTTGAGGGCATTCCCCCAAGAAATTTTTTGGGATTTTTAAATACTATTTCCCACATTTTCAGGCAAGTTTAAGACAATCTGAAAGCCACAGATTGGTGATTTTTGTTATAAACAAACAGTTTTTACAAGGGCAACTTTCTGTTGTTTGCTAATCTGAATGTGTCAACAAGAGTATCCAACTCAATCTTATTCCCAATGTCTCTTTCTATGCTGATATGTTATTCTAATGTTATTCTTTATGTGATCAAAAGTAATGTTAGTTACACAGCTGTTGGAAATTAGAATTTTTGTACCCCCCCCCCCCCACACTTTTCTCTTTAGATTTAGAAAAATCTCAAAAGTGGTCTTTAGAATAACTGAGGGGGACGAGTCCTCCCCAGCCCCCCCCCTTGTCGATGCCACTGGTGGGTGTATACCTCCAGACATATTTAGTTTTAAAAGTTATGGGAATATGTTTATGTTGGGTGTAGTATATTTGGTCTTAATTTTTCTCATTTTATCATTCAAACTTTGCTTTGTGCAAATGCATATTTTTTACTGTACAAATTATATGAGATTTGTCTATTTTGCATTGTAAATTCAAAGAAAAACCTTTCAAAATTTATTTCTTTTTTCATTGTAAGTTGTGACATACAGTATAAGTAAACACTAAAATAGGAATTGCCTGAATTTGTCACAAGGGAAATTTCAAAACTGCAAAAAAGTGCAGTAATTGTTAAAATTTATTTAAATATAGGTCACATTGTTACAAGAAGCTATGACCTGCCTTGCATGAGTACACATATGTACTCATTCTGCAACCTGAGGTTTATGTAAGTGGCTAATTCTATGTGTATATAAAAATATTTTGGATTTTTTGGTATATGCCCAGACCTTATATAAGGCCTCATTGATCTTTTATCTAATTTTGGTGATTATTTTCAAAAATGCACTTATCACCAGTGACAATTTCCAAATAATAAAAGTATAGGTTTTTCATTTTCAAGTATAGTGGTTTTTAATTAATGGCATTGAAGATAATTTGTAATTTTATAAATTGTTTTTGATTTTTAATATTTTCTCAAATAATTGGCCTGAGAAACTGAACCATTCTCTGTCAACCTGATATAACTGCCAAAGGCAGACTTTTAATATTAAAGAATAAAATTTTTTTCTTTTGGTAGATACGTAAACAAGTAATTAGTTATGAATGCTCTGATGTATAAGAGCTCTTATTTGAACGTCTGTAACTAATTCAGTCATTCACATCTATCAAAAGAAGAAAATCGCACATGTATAAAATCACAGCAAAAATTGCAAGTGTAACCTTTAGAAACTATTCCAGGAAAGTGGTATATTGATAATTCACCAGGTGCATTTGAGTATATTAGCAGGAAAATGGGTGCATTACCATTAATGGATTGGGTATTGTGATAATTGAGTATATATATCCTAGCTGTGTAGTTCTTTTGAAATTTAGAAAGACATCAAACTAGCAAAATATAAAGCTTGAAGAATATTCAACAGTATACATTCAGTTGTAGATAATGTTTGATTGTTAAGATTTCCATTTTCAACAAATATACAGCTCTATATTGTGATTGCGACACGCTATAATACATGAGACTAACTGCAACACGCTATAATACATGAGACTAACTGCAACACGCTATAATACATGAGACTAACTGCAACACGCCATAATACATGAGACTAACTGCAACACGCTATAATACATGAGACTAACTGCAACACGCTATAATACATGAGACTAACTGCAACACGCTTTAATACATGAGACTAACTGCAACACGCTATAATACATGAGACTAACTGCAACACGCTATAATACATGAGACTAACTGCAACACGCTATAATACATGAGACTAACTGCAACACGCTATAATACATGAGACTAACTGCAACACGCTATAATATATGACAGTAATTGCAACACGCCATAATACACAAGAGTAATTGCAACACGCTATGATACATGAGACTATAATTGCAAAACGCTATAATACATGAGAGCATCGCCATATATATCCGTCTATATTGCTTTTCGTTATTTTGTCACATCGTGTTATTTATAAAGTCTACCTGATATAAAACCCTTGTGTATCTATTGTCAATATTTTCAATCTCATCATTCTTACTCAATTATTTCAATCTCAATCATTTTAAGATTAAAATATATAGTCCTCTAAAAGCTTGCGTTTTAAAATTTGCTACATTATCTCGAAGAATACAATAGAAAATATTATCAATACTGCAATAAATATTTAGTATATAAACACACTTAAAAACCGAAAGAGTTTAAATTGAAGACCGTGACATCAAAATACCTCTTCTTTTAACCTCAAAAATTTCGACCAAGTGAATGCCATTTCAACCGTGCTCCAAAATGCTTAATATTTCATATTCTACGGCCTATATCCGAAGGTCATATAGCCATAGGCGAACGCGAATAAGACGTTGTTATTGAGTTACGTTACCTGTTCAATCTTGCCTGAGCTTGTCTTTAGATTTTCAATGCATTCCAAGAATGCCACATGCTGGTAGCATACAGACAATGGTTTAATTAAACACAATGTCAATGAGTCCTGTATTTTTACGTGTATTTTAACCGTATTTTGTCATGTTCAAGTCGGGTATATCGACTGCAAAGATATTTGCAATGAATGCAGAAATTTTTTAAATTATATTTTGATGAGAAGTATAGTGACAACCGGGCATTTGAATTCACGGCGAATTTTGCAGATCGTAAATAATTAAATAGTTTGTCGCGAGTTGAAACGTATTCTAGCAACACCGTCGCACGCGACAAATTAAAAACAATATGACAGGAAATTTGAATGTGAATCTTTGAAACAAAACACGCGTTATATATATTGAAAAATATATATATTACGGGTAGAACAAACATTCGTTAAAGGCATCCTAGCATTTAAAGTATGAAATGAAACACCGGCTCTCGTGAAATTTTTGTTTCGTTTTTGAAAAATTGTGTCCAGAACAAAAAGTTAATGCATTTAAATTATAGAATAGATCCTAAAGCTCATTTATTGAGAAAGCCAAAATTGTTCGTACATGTATGCAGCGTAATCCCCAATATTAAAACAGTTTTTATTCCCAAGTATTAGCTACTATGAAAAGATATTTAATCAGAAGCATGTACTTGACAGGAGTGAACAAGGAAAAGTTTTCAAATTATATAGCACAGGCGAAACTTGGGAATTGACTTTTAACCTATTTTTCTTAGTTAATCAACAAGGAATCCTTGGGCGAAATAATGGACAATTTCAGTGCATGCATGCCAGACGCGTATTAACTTAAATATATCCTGGCCCCTAAAACGCCTATTAGGCTGCGTTCAGACTGCACTCGTGCCCGTCGCCTTTCCTGGCGCCTAAGTTCAATACGAATGAATTTGAGAATTAATAATAGCTAAAGTCGCTCCCTGCAAAGTTGACAAGCGTTGGCTGGTCAGCCGTTACGAAAACATAGTGTTTTTAACAGCAACCAGAAACCCAATGCAAAGAATTTATAAACTATATTAAGAGGAGATATTTTTCTATGTCGCGTAATATATGCTCAAAACCTCAGTTATATCTTCGTGCAACACTAAAATTTCAGCATTAAAAATGTTTTGCAAACCTGAAAAGCATCCACAAAGTATGTTTGCTGTATAATCTCAAAATATTGTGCACCACCTCCTGAGGTATAGTACTTAACAAGGGCGCTGAGCTCAGCATGTTTTATGAACCAGTTTTGACTTTCGGCACCAGTAAGATTAGAATTACTAAACCAAATGTGCAAAATATGAAGGTGTATTTGGTGAAGCCCAGAAAATAGAACATTCCACGCCTTCGCGAATTTATACACACTTTGTGCATTGTCGATAACTTCACTGGGGCCGGTTGTTTGAAAGGCGTTTAGCTTAAACGGTGGATAAGTTAAAAATGGAAAACAAAATTATCTATTCATTGAACAACTGAGCTGAAATATTTCGATGTAAATAGTTTAATTGTCATTAGAAGAACATATTAAATGCATAAAGTCATTCACAAGATGTATGAGAGCATTTTTGAACTTTGGCTTATCCGCCGTTTAAACTAAGTACACCTTTTGAACAACTGGCCCCTGGTTGTTACGAGACGACAAGGGAATGTATTTAGACAATACGTTTAAAAGCAAACCAACAAATATTCTCGTAACTATAAAACACCAAGACCGCGTAAAAAGTTGCAACAGGATTCAATCTCGATTAACAGTTGGTTTTCAAAGTGTATAGTAAGTACGATAATAGCCGATGGACGAAAATAATAGTTTTAACAGGTAATTCTTTCCGACAAGTTGGTTTCGCGAGAAGTCCAATGTTGTGTTTAATAATTATATATGTTACGGTTGGTTTGAAAAGTATATACGCGACATCCAAAACTTAAAATTTTAATTATTTAAGTATAATTGTTCACCATACAAAATGCCATGCATGCATGTGCTTATTACCATACAGTATTTTAGTTACGTTTTTTTTTTCTCTTTAGTGTTACCTTTCTTTATCTTTAAAATATCTTTTGTAATGTCTTTTTCTATATATAGTACCACACTGCATGAATCACATAATTTGTTCCTCCATCATAAAATTGTAACTATATACCAGTCCAATAAATAATGCATGATGATATTAAGCGTTTCGATTTCTATGAAAGTAATGAAGCTCTCCAGTGTTGTGATAAGTTTGCGACAATTCAAAACAACCTGTCTGTCATTCAGGCCTAGTTTGTAGTAACGTCGCATTTTGGTGAATGCAATTTGAACAATATATAATGAGATGACGAGGCATTATTCACTATCAATCGTTTTCAATTACATTTGACGCGCCCTCGAATAAATTTTCGTCACTGCGGCGTTAATTCGAAACAGTTATTACATAGTAAATACTAGAGAGTGCTAAATACTATATTGTTGGTGCAGATATAAAAGTATTGCTTACCAAAAGTTTCATCCCTATAGGAATCCTATATATATAATATATCATATATCATGCACACTATACGGATCATTCACACAGGACGTTACGTATATCAGACAATATACGTGTGCAAGGAGAATACGGATATTGCGTGGTTATGGACGTCTGCGGTTGGCGCCTATCTTGGGTGGGCGCCAAAGTCCTAGCTGTTGATCTGGGATGTCAGCCAGCATGCCTCTGTGTTATGATTAGCTTAGGCTTGAAAAATCCAAAACATTTCTTTAAATACTTATCCGCGTCCACACGTAAACACAAAAACGATTCGCAAACGCTAAAGCTATTTGATCGTGCGGTACACTTCCATGTTTTCCACACGCATACCACATGTGGGAGAGCATTTTCAGATTCGTTTTTTTTGAGCGAAAACACCGGATAGGTGTCGACGGCCGGTCGGAAATATATTCTAGTTTTCTCCCAAAATTAAATATTCTCGTGTTCAAATTCTTCCGGCATCGTGTGCATGGGCCAAGCCTTTAATTATAACATAGCAGACAGAACATAAACACAACACTTTCAAAGCATGCGCAGATGTCATGATGACTGACGAACGCGACTATTGTTCGTTGTGAACTTTTCTTGTGAACATGTAAATGATGTCCATGTGAGTAAAATAAACATGTAGAATAAATATTCATGTATCGACATAACTTCTGTTATCTTGAACCTTTGATTTCATTCACCTCTAGAAACGCGCATTTCAAGCCCCGTTTACACTGCACTCAATCGGGACCTTAAGCATGTAGGACGGGAACACGACGACCGCAGCTATCAATACAATGCTTCGTTAAAAGAAATAAATTATTAAAAACCTATGGAAGTTTTAGACGTGATCTACGTTCTGTTTACAACGGCAAAACGTCGAACATGCGTCTGCGCATGGTTATATATATATATATATATATATATATATATAATAATATTATAATATATAATATATATATTATATATATATTTAAGAAATAGAAAACATTTTCCGTGTTTCTATAAAGTTATAGAAACACGCGTGGGAGTTTGGGAGAACGGGAAATAATCAGTGGGAAAACGAGCCCGTAGGGCGAGTTTTTCCACGTTATTTCGAGTTCTCCCAAACTCCCACAAGTGTTTCTATAACTGTATAGAAACACAGGAAAAAATGTTTTCTATTTCTTTTATAATGTAACTCAATAAAAAGATTTTGTACAAATATTATGATTCGATTCAATTACAAATTCTCATTACATCGCTTCGCTTGTCAAGTTCGGCGGAAAAATTCCCGTGTTTCTATACAGTTATAGAAACACGCTTCTCGACCAATCAGCACGCGCGTACTATAAATGTTATATTATAAACATATATAGTGGATCTAGGAAAGGTTGTCCGAAAATATATACATATATATAAATAGTTGTGACTTGTGACCACATATTTCCATCACGTGTCGCACTTAATTACGCATGCAATCGCTGCGAACGCTTCGTTAAATCCATAGCTGGCAAAGCGTAAACAATGTGAGAGCCCGTTTATCACCGAATGTCAGCGTTTTCTAATTGATCGACGATTTCCCTAACGTATAGCTCTGGATGTCTGAGAATTATTTCACATATTGCCAGTTCCTCGTGCTGGTAAATTGTTGTTGCTACAAAGAGGCCTCCCAAACTTATGGGGCGACGTAACGTTACCAGTATTAATAAACAGGTTGAAAACGCGATCTACTGTCCTTGGCGAAACAAACAAATCGACAGCAACTCTGGTTGAAGACCTGTTATAAAATAATTTCTGCCACACAATCCCCCATCCTATATCGTCTGAATACGGCTTAGGCATTTTACAACAAAAATATCCCAAGTAAGCAATAACCTTGAAGCAATTTTGCAGCGTTTGCATGCGTAATTAGATATGACACGTGATGGAAATATGTGGTCACATGTCACAACTATTTGTATATATATATTTCGGACAACCTTTCCTAGATCCACTACATATATATATATTAATATATATATTTTAATTATTAATATATATATAATATTATATATATAAATGTTGTGATAAAAACTATCGTGATGACAGAAACTAACGCATACAAAATCGTCCGGACAGAGTGCTCAATGCTATATATTATATATATAAATATATATATATATATATATATATATATATATATATATATATATATATATATTATAAGCATACCAGTTTTATTAGTGCAGCGAACATTGTTGTTAAATGTTTACTTTGGCATTACTCCATTAGCTTATTTGGTTTATATATACTCTTTGCGAACGCTTGAAGTGTGGCGGTAAGGTGTTGATTGGTCGAAATCGTAATTGTACAGTTATTTCATCTGTTGAACTGCAGCTTAAGCTACAGACTGAGTAAACTTTAATTAGTAAAAAAACTTTAAAAACCAGAATGCGTTTACTATATAGCTACATCGTTGTTATGCGAAATACCGACTATTAAAACCGAATTACAACCGAAATTACGACCTGTGATTTACGACGAATTATGTCTTATGAACCATCCTTTAGCGTCATAAGCGCCTCGAAAATAGGTTGACACTTGCCTGAATGGTAATTGACCGTAACGAAAAAGATGCCGGCATGTACATTTTACCAGAATGCATTGCGGGCATTAAAAATGAGTGCCTGAAAAAAGATGGCAAGAAAAACTCCTAATGACGCGATATTTTAACACAGCGAAGAAAATAACTTCCTGTTTTATGCCTGTCCTTTAAAAAACGTCAGTTCGCTTTTTTAAACGATTTCCGACCGCAATGCATTCTGGTTAAATATTTTGTTGAAAGGTTACCGTTGCTTGTCTATGTGTATAATTAAGAAAAAATAATAGTGTCGCGTTATACTCTATCGTCTCGAATGAAACTAAAGTCTAGCGCTCCAGGTGCACTTTGCACGCACATACGTCATTCGTGGCAATTATGACCTGCACTTTGTTTGCGGGGAACAAATTGAGATATTCTGTTATTCGTGTCGTAAAATTGCCCCGCAAACTAGGAACACGTGTAAGCCTGACTGGGAACACGTGTAAATCTCAGTCTTTGTTTAAACAGGTGCTCGAGGTTATTGTAGAATCTCTGGTCTATTGTTCAGTTTAAGCATCAACATTAAACTTTGTTTACTTCGTTGATTAAACTTTGTTTAAATTAACTCCTTTGCAAAGACTTTAAGTTTATGTTTAATGTTAATTAACGTGTTTTACTGTAATCGTCTCCGTCATTACAAATGCTGCTCTTTATTTATTTTAGTCGCATGTCGTCAAATAGTGACTGGGTAAAATGGCAGAAAATGGGACAACTGATACAACAGCAAGTCAGGAGTCCATTAAAAACGAAGCTGAGATAATAACTGAAGAGTGTGATGCTATTTTTGTACGGAGAAACCCGGAGAGATTCCCTGGAGAAGGAGAAGAGTTTTTCACGAACTTTAGGGAAAAAGTAATAAAGACGTTAAATCCGAATGATTGGAAATGTGTCAAACAAAGTTATAATCATATCTTAATAGTGAAATGTGATCAGTCAAATCTGTATGAAAGTCAGTCACATGGTCTTTTTGTAGTGTCCAAGTATAACAGTTTTACTTCTTCGGACAGTTTGTCCACCAAAACAGTCCGGGCAGCAGGAGCAGCAAGCGTGGACCCCTGTGACTGCCTCAAATTTAACTCGATATTGAGAGATCCATCTGAATTCAACAAGCAATGACGAGTGGATAGTGTTTGAGAAATGTCGCGGCATCACTTATGTATCTATGACCGATGAGAAAAGCAATATCCGTGTCAAAGATTTTGACAAACTTAAAACTCTTGTTGGACAACTTATAAAGCTACACAAAGATGTGGAGAATATAGTAAACACTCGTGTCCCCTTGGGAGAAACGGAAGATAAAAAAGCCAATGCTATCACCACTCATATTGTAAGTCAGGAGGAGTTCTTTAAGGAAGTGAACGAGGTAGTTTTCCAAAAGCGTCGATTATTAAAAGAGCTGAATACTTTGGTTCTTAGACTCTGTAGATCTGTTGAGGTTTTAGAAGATGGTCAGAATTCAGCAACTAACGGCGAAGGAGCTTCCGCAGCTGCAAATCACGAGCAGAATTCTAAGAAAGACGAGAAGCCACGTAGCAGTCAAACCGTAAGTTCAATTCCTCTTCGGACCTTACTACAGTGCATCGTAACACGAATGACCACTTTAAACTGGGAGGAGCTTCGACGCTATGTCGGTCGTCAAATACCAGCGAGAGTTCTGAGAAATGTCCCCAACGATATTGAGTTTTTCCAAGAATTGGAGAATCGAGAGATGATCCGGGTTGGTAATACGGAGTACATCAGAAATGGGCTTTATGATATTGGACGTGTTGATCTCGTACACCTGCTGGACTGTATTCAAGAAGGTGACTATAGCTTACTGCAGCCTGATGTTACTAGCCAAATCTCAGAACAGACACGTCGCGAGGGTGCCAGTGGCAATGCAGAATCCAGATCCATCACTCGTGAAATGCCAAATTTGACAGTGGATGGAGAAAGTGGTACTACCGCTGACCAGAATGTATTGTGGCCATCTGAAGCTAATGGAACATCAACTTCAAGTCAAGATACTACTTTGCAAAGAAGGTACCGTAATGTACCCCAACGTACTGCAACACCACCAGCTTATCCTGTTCAAGAGGACACTGAATCGATCTCCTCAACTGGCGCTCATCAGCCTGCTCCAGAAGCTGGGGTGAGTGGATCCGAGGAAGGTACCCAGGTACAAACCTCCGCCAATCAATCAAACGAGGGGATTACATCTACCCAGACAACAGATACCAGCAATGCATCCAACCAGGGAACAGGTTCCGAGGATTCAACTCCCCAGAGTGTAATTCCCCAAGAAAGAGATGTGCAGAGTACCCCGGAGGAAAATACCCGTAGTGTAAACGAGGAGGATATCAGAGCATGGATGCAGAATAGAGATTATTCTTGCGACCATTATGATCGATATTGCACTGTTCAGTTTGCATGTTGTGATCGTTTCTGGCCTTGTCATCGTTGTCATAACTCCCAGAGTCAGTGTGCTGAAAGAAAGCTCAGATCTCGTGATATAAAGAAAGTGAAATGTCGTCGTTGCGGTAAAATACAAGATTTTCCTAAAGAGTCGCCAAATTGCGTTCAGTGTAACTTGAAGTTTGCCGAGTATTTCTGCCCCATTTGTCAGCATCTGACTGGAACACAGAATCATCCATTTCATTGTAACAAATGTGGAATTTGTAGGTATGTTAACAGAGAAGTTGTTTAAGCATTATTGATCTCTAATTTCGTTGCTTTGGCCATCTCGTTAGTTTGAACATTTATTTCAATGAAATTTCAGCAATTTTGGAGGTAGAAAATAGTTAATTCTGCCAGACGCAAGCCTTAACTTCAGATTTAGCAAATGCCGACCTGATTGCCGAGCATTCGTCTGGTCTCGACAGCTTAAAGTCGCAAACATGCATTACTGGAATTTTTCCATTAAAATCTTAAGTCAAAGGATGAAAATTTAGAACTACATAAATTTTGACGCGTATAGCGTTTGCAGGAGGGAGGGGCAGCGAAAGCACGTTCCTCTGAGCCAAATGGCTATGGCTATCTGTTTGATTGTAAGTTTTAAGTGTGAGAATTTCTTTCTTGACCCTAAACGTGGTTGCATGTTAACTACGTTACCGCGTCGTCGTACGTGCTATACTAGATAACACAATGTTTATTGTGGAGGAGGGGGCGGGGGGTAAATTTAAACTTAAGTCTGGTATTTGAAAAAAATATTTACTGCCCCCCCCTCTTCTTGAACTATAGGCCTGGTAGTGCGCCTATGGTTTGCGTTTAGTGCTGTAAGAAATTCTTTTTTCTTTATCAGAGTGCACGGTGATCGTTCATTCCACTGCGATGTCTGCGGTGTGTGTCTTGATGTTAATCTGCGTGGAAATCATAGATGTCGAGAAGGCTCTGCTCATGACGAGTGTTGCATTTGTTTTGAAGTACGTTCTGCGCTATCAATTGCATGTGTTATATTATACGCGTTTTGATTGGTTGATCGAGAGCTATGATCTATATATACGGTCTTTGACTTTAGCGACATTGGGGTTTCTGAGAAAAGTGATTGCGTCGAAAGTGACGCTGGGTAATTACCGTAGACTGTTGGTGGCATCTTTGACGGTCGGTGGCATAATTCAAAATAGTACTAATACCTTTGACTTTTATTTCAAACCATTAGCTAGCTTATTTGTGCAACCCCGATCAGCGATACAGTGGTTATTAAAGTAGGCACACTGTCAAATATCAGGGCATATTGAGTTTAAGTTACTTCAGGATTTTTCAATTCGCATCTTTTCCAATTCTTTTCTGTTTTAAATTTTTCTGAATGGCGATGTCTATTGTCGGTGATTATTGATGCATAAAATGCTCTGTTTTACCAAAAAAAATTTACGTCATTAATCAAAATTTTTACTGCATGCAATGGATTGTACAACATCACCGATGAATTACGACATATGAGAACCAGGCTTTGACGAAACGACCATGAAAAATGCCGCTGATCCTCGGAATCAAAATGCCTCTTGGCGCCGCGTAGGTTTGGCTCCCTCCTTCCCATCTACCCCAACGCCATGTTTCACCAACATCACGACTAAAATGCAAATGTCTCTTCTTTTTCTGGTGTTTTTTTTATTTCGAGAAATTTCATCTACTTTCAAGTTTCCACCCTAAATCAAGACCCTTCAACACTTAGCAATAATTCTACGTCGAGTGAAGTGCTACGGAATCTTAACTAAATGACTTACCTCGCCTATTTTTTTTTTAGGATGCATTCACTGGGTGTCAGATATTGCCGTGTTCGCACAAGGTTCACAAGGAGTGTGCTTCTCAAATGGTGCGAAGCGGGATGTATGTATTTTCTTACTTTTGGTTTTTTTAACTTCAAACAAATAATCATTCGTCAGGCACAGTCGTAATATTTCAAAAAGGCATGTTTGCATCTGCGATTTTTGATGGATTGTTTATTCTAAGGGACCGGTTGTACGAATGTGGTACATTTTCGCAATACATGTGATGAACAGTTTAAATCTGATATTATATATATTTTATATATATATATATATATAATATGTATATATATATGTATATATATAATATTTGTAGTGGTATGTAATAGTATTTGATTTGTGTCGAAAAACCTTTAGTTTTTCCCCCTGATAAATATGTACTCTTGCTCTTTTTTTTCGAGCCTACACGTCCACCATTTAAGTAGTACGGGCTTCGTTTACAACCAGCCCGTGCATGAGGTATAAGTGCCACCAATTGTTGTACGTTGTTGGTTTACAAGGGTAAAATTTTGATAATATGTAACCAAATGCACCTCTGTTTCAGAACCCAATGCCCAATATGTCGGCAAAGTTTTGGAAAAATTAAAACAGACAAGAGTAAGAAGTAACGGAGTTACAAAAAGATTGATGTGGTTATAGGATTTTTACTACATTAAAGCTGGCTAAAAAGACTTCGCCATTTCTACATCAAAGCTTGCTGAAAAGACTTCGCCATTTCTACATCAAAGCTTCCGGAAAGACTTCGCCATTTCTACATCAAAGCTTGCTGAAAAGACTTTGCTATTTCTAAATCAAAGCTTGCTATTGAGATTAACGTTTTTTTGTTCGATATATTGACATAATTGTTTTGTTGCTGCCCATGAGTTTTAGAACATGTATTAATCTTACGAAAATCCGTTTGATTTATGTTTAATAACAGGGATTTCTGTATGAAAAAGAAAGAAATCCTTTTGCTTCTTCAATGCTTCTTTAGTGATATTTAATTTCTATATTAGTCTAGTATTTTTGGCAAACATTGGATGCTTATCTCGGTAAAATATGCTCACCTAAACTTTAGGGACTGTAGAAGCATTTCAATTGCAAAGACATGCAGCCATGGTTATGCACCACAGAGCTACTAGCACTTTTTGGCGACAAGTTTTGGTAGAGCGCAAGTCCTCCAGGGGTTATAGAAAATTCTTTTACGGAATTTTTACGGAATTTCTCAGTTATCGATGCTCTCCCCAGTTTTTTGAAGGTGTTTTTGCTTTCGCGTCAATAATCAGCAAATTGGCTTCATACTCGGTAAACAGGATAAACTTGTCCTATGTTTATATGAGAACATTTCATCCCACTTGCCGGGTAGAGATTATTTAAAATGCCTTTATTGGCTTTGCGTTTAAAGTTCATATCACATTAGTATCAGCATCTATTATATGGTACGTTGTCACCGTTTGCTCGTTTTTAATGATGTAGTGTTCAAAAATTGGTTCTACCTCGGCAACCGGGCCAGCCCGCTTCAGGTTGGAGCGTTTATATGAAAATATTTTCATCCCGCTAAGCGAGATCTCGCCTCTTTCGAGCGGGATCTGAGAGCCAGCGACGGCCTGCCCGCCAGTGTATACAAACACACAGAAATTTTTATTAGGAAATGTGTTCGTAGCGAGATCTCGCTAGCCGGCTGTCTCACTAAGCGCGGCAGCCCGGCTTCCATATAACAGCCCCCTAAATGGTCTTTTCTGTGGAGTTTCAATCCAGTTTTATTAGAGTTCAGTGGCGAGGCAGCCATTATATTCGTATAATATCGTAGCGAGAGATTTGCCAGGCGAAAAACGGATTCTTATTATAAATATGAGAGCCCAACATATAACATTTAAGAAAGCCATCAAAACAATTTAAAGTTTAAAAGTAAATATATTTGTAACGTTTCGTCTTTAACCTAAGACATCTTCAGACAAGTGATGTAAAATTACATGAGATTTGAATATATATAAACTATTTACATATGTAAATTAATGACGGATAGGAAGGTATAAGATAGTACATGACAAAACCGCACAGACGAAGGGACATAAACACAATACAAAAACTATGAAAACACGTTACAGAAGATTAAGTGGGATTGAACTGCCCTGGATGTTAAGTGAGGGTTTGAGTTTGGAACTAAGGAGGCTTTCATGAAAGCCAAGTTGGATATCAAGTTGGATATTCGTTGATTTAATATCATATTGTTGAGAATAGGCGAGGGTAAATCAATTACGATTTTGTGGCACTTCACTAGATGTAGGTGAATTTTAAAGGGGTTTTCCACTTAATTTCGAGTTAAATCATACACAACTCAATTCATAGAACATTGTAAAACATAAGATCAGGTTGGACATGTAGAACATAAGATCATGTTTTTAGATTCCTGTAGATCGTTGGTGAAATTACCCAAATATAGCTAGTATACATATGAATATACACCTCGAATTATCGTATCTAGGATTCGACATTGACAGCTGCACAACTAAAAACGATCAAGAATACAATTGACAATAGGCAGATTTAGCATGAGGACGTGAACCTCAAAGACGACATGAAAATGGCGGAAAAAATAGCGTGATGCGCCCAAATATGGACATGCCACGTAATTAAATTGCCATTCGTACTTGCTTTGAAAAACTGATTGGCGATGCACGCATGCGCATCTCATGTGATTCATCTCATCTCTATCCATTTTACCTATCGTTTTATCTTATATTGCGTCGAAACCAGCTATTTTGCACTCGATCTTCACTCTTCAGAAACATGCTGTTTTAACCGGAAGTGACTTTTGCGCTACTTGTGTTCTACCCCACCCCCACACGGGATAAACCTAACGAAAGAATCACATGACCAGCCTTGACCAGGGTCTTTGCCGCAGCGTGGGCCGAGGTAAAACAGCTCGGCTTGCAAGTTGACTTCGGCGTTCTCATATAATTTTGACTTTACGCAAAATTCTTAAAAAAAGACCCCTTAGCTATACTAAAATGCCACTGAGCTGTATTGGAATTTTAATATAGCTCAGTGTTAAAGACCTATGGGAGTTTTACGTTCGAGTGTTCTACGTTCTGTTTACTACGGCAAAACGTCCTTTATTACGTCCTATGCAGAACGTCTAGGCTGTTATAAGGGCGGGGTTAAAAGTTGTAAAAATGATTACGTAGTTGTTGAACTGTCTCTTATGCTAATATTTCCCAAGAGGAAAACCCTGAGTACGAGGTTAAATATTTTCTCTACGATTCTCAATCTCCTTCCTCGAGCCCGCGATTCCTTTGACGACACAAAATGTAACGGCAGACGTCCGTAAACTACGCTTGCTGTCACAGGATAAGAGACATTGATGTTGATACGCGTAGGACCATAGAAAAAACTGTTAAAACTCCCGGTTTACATTTGATATTTTATTTAACAGGTTTTCTTACACGCCTCGATTACGTTGATACGTTGAACGAAGCTACGTTGATACGGTTCAAAACTATAAACAAATTACATAAACAGTACAGAACAGACTCGATAAAATAAAGCATGCAATAATACATCACGACTTACGTTGTGTCTCCTCTACGTTATACCGTGTCCGATTTGCCGTTGTCCTTAAACTTTAACGCTTTGGTTATACTCCGGTTTGTATTAAGCATGAAGAAAAGGCTCGCAAGTAACACGCCTTAAATACTATTTGCATAACCAATGAACTGTAAAGGCAGCAAGGCGCATTTACATTCCCGGCCCCTTAAACGATGGTATACACATTGTTTCACGCTATAATAATAAACTTATTTAAACTGTTTATAACGTTAATTAACTTAGCTTCTTACGTGTCCAGTCCTTTCTTTTCTTCGTTTTCTATTAAAACTATCAGTTTACTGATTGGACGATGAAGCTCTGCGGTAGACGTTTTCAGAATAACACTTCTCACATATCCGTTTAAATCAGGTTTCGTTTCCGTCACGCGTCCCATAGACCAGACGTTCCTTGGTAGGTTTTCATCTTTCAGTAGAACGACATCCCCTACAGCAATATTTCGTTTAGTAGTAGCCCATTTTTGCCTTCTTTGAAGCGATAACATATACTCTTTTTTCCATCGAGTCCAAAAGAGATTTGCAAGGTATTGGACACGACGCCATCGACGACGTGCGTACAGGTCTTCATTCGCAAAGACACCCGGTGGAGGTAGAACAATCTTGGTCTTTGTGGTAAGGATGTTGCTAGGGGATAATGGGTTAAGGTCATTGGGATCGCTGGATGGAAAGGTCAGAGGTCTAGAATTGACGATAGCTTCAACCTCGCATAACATAGTGTGGAAAGCTTCTTCATCCAGCTGTGTTCCGTTTTCGTGAAGAATGCCAGCTAATACCTTGCGTACACTACGAATCTGCCTTTCCCATACACCACCCATATGCCCTCGACGCAGGAGGGTTGAAGATCCATTCTATTTCCATTTGAACCATCGTATTTTGAATTCGTGCTTGATCCATTTCTTCAAACGCTTTGACGAGTTCTGACTTTGCTCCGATGAAATTTGTGCCGTTGTCACATCTTATCTGTCGTACTGGCCCTCGTTGTGCCACAAATCGTCGCAAAGCATGGATGAACGAGTCCGTATCCAAAGAGTTTGAAACTTCAATATGAATAGCTCGACTCAAAAGACAGGTGAAGAGGGCTCCATATCTTTTTAGCACCTTTCGTCGTTCTTTAATCTGAAACGGACCGAAATAGTCTACGCCAACGTAAGTGAACGGAGGAGCAGGATTTACACGTTCGGCAGGAAGATCAGCCATTTTTTGCTCGTTTGGTGTGGCTCGAATACGACGACAGGTTACACATTTGAACAACAAGTGGCGGACAGCTGAATTAGCACTCACAACCCAATACTTTTTTCTCAAAGCAGCTAGAACATGAGCACGTCCCACATGACCCAAACTTTGATGAATATGGCGGATTATGAGCATCGTGACGTGACTTTTTCGTGGCAGGACATAGGGATGTTTCATCGCTTCTGGAACTTCTGCTTTGGAAAGGCGGCCTCCAACGCGTAGAATTCCTTGGTAGAGGAATGGGTTTAATTGATAAATGGAACTCGTCCTCTTAATTTCGGTTTTCTTTCGTTTGACTTGCATTCTACTTTCATTTTTGCTTGTTGTCATTATATCGTTTATGGCTCGAATCTCTTCTCCGTACGATTGTGCTTGCACACACCGTATGATGGCATCTTCAGCTACTTCCAATTCTTGAAGTGTTATCGGTTGGACTTGTAGCAAGGGTTCACTTCTCGTTGTTGCTGTACACCTTAATTTTTTTCTCGTTATTCCGTGGGGCGATTTGCTTGGGATATTTTTTCGCAATTTTCGTTCGATCAGTAACCGTCGCACTCGAAGCATTATCGCCACAGCTCTCTTCAATCGCAGCCAATTCGAATAGAATTCGAAAAGCTTGTTAATCGACGAGTAAGAGTTGTCAATGATTGAAACAGAGCTGCTTATAATCTTCTTAACTTCGGGATCGTTCGCCGATGCTTCGCCCAATGACAACGGTTGCTCTGGCCATTTCTCTTCTTCTTCCCACAGAAAGTCTGGGCCATGAATCCACTTGCTTTGTTTTAGCAAAGTCTTTCCATCCATTCCTCGCGAAGCGTAGTCTGCTGGGTTGTCGGTCGACTGAACATATCGCCATTGTATAGGATCGGTCAAATCTCGAATTAGTTGTATGCGGTTGGCAACAAATACGTGGAATCTGGTATAATCATTCATGATATATCGAAGAACAGTTGTGGAATCGGTATGATAAACTATCGTTGATGGTTTATCTTCTACTTCGTCATTAAGGAGCCGTCCAAGTCGTGCGGACAAGGCTGCAGCAACGAGCTCCAAACGCGGTATAGTAACAAATTTCACTGGAGTAAGACGAGATTTTGCCATCAGAAAGGCGCAGTGGATTCGACCTTTACGATCTTTAAGCCGGAGATACGCTATCGAACCATATCCGTAAAGACTTGCATCAGAGAACAAGTGGAACTGTCTGGAAACAATTTCACCAAAGTCACGCGGTGTAAGGCTTCGGTTGATTTTAAGGTGCGCAAGGGCTTGTAGCTCATTCAGCCATTTTGACGATTGAACGTGACACTCATATGGAATTTCATCATCCCAACTCAATCGTCGATTCTGACAAAGTTCTTGTAATAGCTTCTTTGCAGGCAAGATGAACGGTGCAACAAAACCTAAAGGATCATATACTGATGATACGGTTGACAGAATGCCTCTTCTGGTGAGTGGTTTAGAATTCAACGTCACACGAAATTCAAAGGTGTCAGATTCTATACACCAGTACACTCCTAGCGCGCGTTCGAGTGGAAGTTTGCCATAATGTAAGTCCAGATTCTTCAATTCCTTCGAGCGATCTTCTACTGGGATTGACTGTAAAACAGCACGCGAGTTGCTTGTGAATTTTGTCAACCGAAATCCTCCCTTGGCACACGAATCACGTAGATCATCAATCAACTTGATCGCTGTACGAACGGTTTTGGCAGATTTCAGGCAATCGTCCACATAAAAATTTCGTTTGATTGTTCTTGCAACCAGGGGACCAAACTCCTCTTCGTTGTCGTACGCAGTCTTCTTGAGGGCAAAATTCGAACAACTAGGCGAGGAAACAGCACCGAACAAATGCACCGTCATACGATATTCTTCTATGTTAGACTCCAGATCCGCGTTAGGCCACCACAAGAACCGGAGAAAGTCACGTTGAGTGGTGGGAACACGAACTTGATAAAACATGGCTTCGATGTCACCCATAAATCCGATGGGTTCTTGTCTAAATCTTGTTAGGACACCAACCAATGTATTGGTAAGGTTTGGACCAGAAAGCAGCTGATCGTTAATAGATGTACCTTGAAAACGAGAACTGCAATCAAACACCACACGGATCTTCTCTGGTTTTTTGGGATGGTATACGCCATGATGAGGGATATACCAAACTTTTCCATTCTCAGGTAAGGGTGATTCTGCTGGTATTCTTTCGGCATAACCCTTCGCGATGACATCCTCCATAAACGTTTTGTAATCCTCACGGTACTTTTCGTTCTTCAACATTTTCTTCTTTTGCCATTCTGCCCTCTTAATTGCTTGCATTTTGTTGTTCGGCATTTCAATGTTTTCGGTTCTGAACGGTAGAGGAATCTCGTAATGTCCTTCGTTATAACGAACTCCATTTTCCACTTTCTTCAGGAACAGCTTATCTTCATAAGAATATCCTTTACCATCCGAGTCTGTAGAAACTGCACTGTATTCATTAAAATCAATCGCCAATGCATCCAACAATAATTTAGGAGTGATGATCTCTTTAACATTCTGAATTTCACGAACCACAACACGATTGACACTGACTTTGTGGGTGTCCGATTGTGATGGTTCCGAACGAAGAGGACCACCAACCGTCCAACCATGAGGAAGGAGAACTGCAAACGGACCATTACCATTACTTGAGATCACTTTTAACGGTTCATGAGCAGGAATGCAGTTATTGCCAATCAAGAGGCCAATCTCCAAATCTGGTATGTACTTGGGAATTTCTTTGCCAATCTTCTCGAGGTGGATCCAGTTAGAAACGATTTCAGGAGTAGGGATTTGATTATGCTCTACAGGAATAAATTTTCTTGTGTAAAGCTTTTCAATCTCGACGGGGTTCTCGTCATTCAAATCCGTGACAATCAGGTCGGTAAGAACGTCACTCTTAATGTAGCTCTGTCCGTGCATCGTACCAAGCTGGAGCGCTGTCTTTACACCCTCTATTCCCAACTGTTGCTGGAGATTTTCTGTCATAAACGACCCCCCACTACCATTGTCGTAGAAGGCGTACGTAACCACTGATTTTTCGCCGTCCTTTTGTTTCACTCTCACAGGTAGAATTGCATGGTATATAACAGACTCGCATTGACTGATGCAGCCGTTCTTGATTTCTTTCTCTTTGTTATCACGATCGTTTTTTGCCGCAGAACTGTTCTTGTTATCGATGAACTTGAAATCAGGTATGTGCAGCGTAGTGGGGTGCTTTTTATTACAAGTCTTGCACGTCTTCTTCTGCGTACAACCCTTTGCGATGTGGTTTGATCCATAACAAGAAAAACACAATATTTTCCCCATGAGTAATGACTTTCGATTTTCCATAGATTTTTTCATAAATTCAGTACAGTCGTCCAGCGGATGATCTTTATTACAGCAGGGACATCGCTCAGACGCTTTTGTTTCAGGGTTCCTTGTTTCTTTAGGGATGGTTAGCGTTGCTGGAATTTCTGATGTTTCAACTCTGGTTGCAAAACTTGAACCACTGTCGCTTGGTTTCTTTTTATCTTTAATCTCGGGACGTTTTCCACTCAAAACTTCTTTATTATAGACTGGATGATTCGCAGATTCTGCACACTCATCGACAAAGGTCACCAAATCTTCAAATTGAGTGACTTTTTGGTGAGATTTTTTCAACTTGGTCGCGCGATCTCTCCATTTTGTTTGAAGAAACTGGGGCAATTTCTTCACCACTGTCTGCATGTTGGTTGGATGATTTAGCACTGACATGTCCGAGATGGCACTCATGGCATTCTTTATCTTCTTCAAGAAAAGAGAGAAACGCTTCAACCCAACTTGGTCGTTATACTTAATAACTGTCCAGTTAAGTACCTTGTTAACATATGCGATTGAGATTTTATACGAATCGCCGTATTCGTCCTGGAGAAGCTTACGTGCTTCCGAATAACCTTGTTCAGGATCCATATATAGACATCCCTCTATCAGTTCTTTTGGTTCCCCGATCAGGTGCTGGTTTAAATAGTACAATCGATCTGCGCTATTCGGTGTCTTTGTTTCGATGCGGGTATCGAACGCTTTGATAAACGTCTTATAATTCAGTGGGTCACCTCTAAATTTCTGCACTTCAGGCTTTGGTAAGCTCATTGCAGCTGCCAACTGAACGTTCGCTGTCACCATATGTTCGTTTTGTTCGCGTTGTATCACTAGTAACTGCTCTAATGAGTTCTCGCGTAATTCTTGATGAAGATTCTCATGAATACGTCTCCTCTCGTCGCCGGTTACAAGTGTTGGACACTGACCGTGTTGGACTGACTTTTTTTTTTTTTTTTTTTTTCGCTGGAATAATTGACTTGCTAAACAATTTAATAAAACATATTATACAAAATAATGCTAAAAACCTAGACTAAAAATTAATATATTTCATAGATACAAATGTTCTAAATGACCCATGCACTTTCTAGTTAAGTCTTTTTAAAAAGAAAAAAAAAAAATTAATGTTCGCATAAATCTAAGGTAAAGAGAATTATATACAATATTTCATGCTCATACATTTAGACGTTTTTTGAGTCTCTCAATAAGTACACCGTCCTTCCACTAATGCTAGATCGATCTCTCCTCCAAAGGAGGAGATTGGTCGATGTAAGGAAGATCTAGCCCCACGCAAGCACATAATTGCTGATCGTAACAGCGAAAAACTGAGTCTACATCTCATCCAGTTGATTGTCTTACTATACGCTTTATCATGTTTATCAGCGATTAGAGATGCAATTCTCTTATAAACTACATTTGCAGTGGAGCCCATACCACCCGCTGTTGAGAAAACAAGAGGGGAGAAAGACCCATGTTCTACTTCACGGATTCGTTCATCATATGCTCTTCTTTTCTCAAGCTCATTTCTGCGATAGCATTGGGAGAGTGATGTATTACGATAGCTCGGTGCCAAGGGATTAAAAACCCTAACATCAAAAAATGCACGTTGCCGATCACCTCCCCAAAAACTTTCAGCTACGATATCAAGTCGAGCACCATCCTCTTTATTGGCTGTTCTATACGAAAACACTTCATTGGTTATAGGTTGTAGGCTTGGCTCAGTGCCAACTCCATGACATACCTCAGTCAAGAGTTCGGCGGTGATGTCTCGTAACTCATTGTGCCGAATTGACGGAAATCCACCCCGTGAGCAGCTTAGAGCATGTTCTAGGGTAAGTTTCTGATCACAGACGCAACGAGAAGGTAGTTGTTGAGGAAGCCAACCGTATCTGAGACATAAAGCATCACGAAAAGCACCTTTATGAAGAGTGAAACCATACTCAGACAGCGGAAGCGTGGTAAGCCATGTTGAGGCTCCTTTCTCAGATGCTATTTCTAAGATCTCTGTAAATCTGGAGATAATTTACCGACTATCTCATTTGCATCGAGTTTCTCTTGCTGTCTTCGTGAATTGCGTAGGTGATTTCTCGCATTAATTTGGGCTTTAGCAATTTCAGTAGAACATGTCTCGCCTGTTCTAGAATAGCATTAACAAGTGGTGTTGTAATGATTTAGAATCTTCGTAGTAGACAGAACCTTTTTGGGAAGGAAGAATAACACCTAGACCACCAAGACGTGCTGGTAATGCCATTAAATTGCGAAGGTCGTCGCTGAATATATTTTGCCCCTGTAATGGCAGGTAGGAACTTGCATCTTATAACTTCTTCTAGAGGGACTAATAAATGGTCGATATTCGGGGTCGTCCTAGTTAGGTATACCCATTTGCTCTTGATTCCATGAATGAATGCAGCATACGCAGCCTGTGGTTGTCGTGGCAATATCAGACAGATGCTCTAGCTCCTTCTTCCATTTAGCTACTTTTTCAGCAACAAAACTTTCAACAAAGGAACGTGATCCAATTGCTGATCCCAAGTTATTCTTTCCATCGCACGAAATCTTTATTCCAGTGTCCTTAAATAACTCCATTGCTTCTTCAATGTATTCTTCCTTCACAATAAGCCATGTTTTCGTTGCATTTGGAAAATAGCCATAATCTGGGCCGATCTTTGTCATGTTGTCCCACCAATTTCTAATGGAAATTAGTTTCCCAGCAGCAGAGGCATCATCAGCAAACCACACTTGATTCAGCCTCTCCTCCGTTAGTCGATGGATCAGTGGTGTGACGGCAACAGCGTACATTGCCATTGCCAAGGGTCTCCTTGTGTTGTGCCTTCTTTTGATAGAATTGATTCTCCATCTATAAACAGTGGAATGTGCTGTCTATAAGTATTGATCAGAACTTTAGATAATGCAGGGCAAAGATTCTTGACATTAATTAGCGCAGTTTGGCGATTTAAACAGTTAAAGGCGTTGGCTGCATCCACTAATATAACGCCTTCGGCATCGTTGCACTCAAAGACTTGGCGAGTCGCATGTACTGCTGCTTCACAGCCTGACAGGTGTCCAGCACATGTCTGTAATGGACCTGTAGCTTCTTGGACCTCCTTACCAAGGACTCTAGCAACTGCTTTACCAATGATACGTCGAGACACCTCTCCAATCCCAATTGGGCGTACTCCAGGGCATTTATCAAGTGCAATAAGACGACAGGCAACAAGTGCTTCTAGACCTGATGGGTCAACATAGGTGGTACAGATTCTTCTTGCAACCATAGATAAAGCATGACATAGAGCAGTAGAGCATGATTTAAATGATGTACAGAGACGTCGCCAAGCCGCCGCGTCAAGACCAGATGGTCCTGCACTTCCTTCTGTTTTGATAGCCGTATTCCGTATTAGGTCTTCGTCAATGCCATCGAATATAATTGGATGTGGTTCTACGTTGGAATCACTAGTTATAGCTGTTGGTACGAGGGGACTACCAGGAGGATGCTTTTTCAGAAGTGACTCTCTGACAGTCTCAGGGTTTTCGGGGGTTGCACGACTATCCAGAGTTAGAATCTCTCCATTGTTGTCTTCTGAGATCTTCCGAATTGCTGCTCTTACTTTGCCCTCCATCATTAACTTCGCAAAGACTCTGGCAGTATGCTCATTAGATCGTGTTTTATGCTGACTGTCCAGTCGTTGTTGAATAGCACAGCCCTCATCTAAGAGACCATTAATATCCCCATCTATCCATTGCTTAAGTCTGCGATTTAAATGTGCACTGTGCTCTTTTGCCTTAGATTTAGAATGTGGTTTTTGTAGTAGAAGCGCTGGCATTACCATTGCAGCCCGTAGAGCCACACTCTCAATTGCGGATGCATCAGCATAAGATTGAAACATTCGAGTGAGTTCACGCACAAACGATTTACCTGCTTGTCCAGAAGGAACTTTAAACAAATTACGTCTCCAATGAACTATGAGGTTATAGCCTTTTTGTATAGTTAGGCTAAATGCTTCTCCTTCGGTTTCTCCCCACTTGAAAGTTGCAGCCTGAAGTGGAACAAAAGCTGGGAGTTGTTCCAACTCTAACATTACATTTTCTGTCCCAGTTTGGGTTTGATTATTTAAGGATAAATTCGCTTTTTTGCTGGCATTGACTTGATATTGAATTGAGCTTGGATCAGGTACTTGAGCAGTTGGGGATCCATCTTGGATTGGCAAAACTATACCTTGATTTTCACATCGTTCGTATTTTCCTGGTTTGCAGTTAGTACAAACTTGGTTGTTTTTAGTACAAGAACATCCTCTACACCGTCCATTTCCGTTACACCGGCAGCATTGAGTCATGTTTTATCTATTGACAACTTCAATTTGCTTGCAAACATCAAGGAAAATAATATAACTTTGTTTATATGTTATGTTTATACGGAGTAGATAAATATACGTCCGCCATGAGATCTCGTTGTTGAGGGTCTTGAACGGTCCATATGAGACGATGTCGGTACTGGATTTGAAAAACCAGATAATGACGAAACTGACAAATCTGGCGTAGGAAGAGTAACCTTTGGTTGACCAATAACAATAGGAGTGACATAAGGAGATCTTGGCGTCGGTGTGCTTGAGCTGAATGCAGCTGATCGCATTTCGTCCCTTGTTACGTAGAGTGTAGGAATATCTCTTACGTTCCCTTGACTTGGGTCGATCTTGGCTTGTGATGTAATCTGTTGGCTTTCGATAATTTCTCCATATACTCTTTCTCTTGCCTGAGCTTTCGCTATTTCTGTCTCTATCTTTAAATCCTCAACCGCTATATCCAGAGCTTGTTTGCGCTTGAGTAACGATTTTTGTGCTTGCAACTCAGCCAACTTCACCCTTTCCCTTGTGCGAGATGATATCGATGATGCAATAGACGTACCCGAGGCAGAGCCCTTACGTGACTTAACAGACTTAGAACGGCTTGAACTTTTCCTTTCAGCATTTGTATCTAATTCGTCAGATAACCTTTGTTCCGAGAGGACAATCCACTGTTGAACTTGTTGACGAAAATCAAGGAACGACTTTTTCTTACCCTCATAACGCTGTATTTCACGCTCTTGTAACTCCTCTGACGATAATAACTTAATATATTCCTGATATATTTGTTGGTAATTCATGAATAATATATCAATATCCTCAACTGCAGTTTTCACTAGATGCAAATTGTTCTCATCTGTCATCAACCGCGTAATATCTGTTCGCTTTCGAGTGACTGCTGCTAAACTTGATGTTTGCATACTTTTATAGCGATCACAGTTGTATTCATGTCCTTTTTCCGTTTGTCTTCTACAACGAACTCCTTCATTGCTTTCGTCACCTTTTTCGCTAGATTGCTCATGTACAGAGCCCGAGTCACTTGCATTTACGTTGGCGTTATCCATCTGATTACCAATCCGTACAACAACAAAACTTTTGAACTAATGTAACGGCAGACGTCCGTAAACCACGCTTGCTGTCACAGGATAAGAGACATTGATGTTGATACGCGTAGGACCATAGAAAAAACTGTTAAAACTCCCGGTTTACATTTGATATTTTATTTAACAGGTTTTCTTACACGCCTCGATTACGTTG